TAATACCATCAAAGGGAATAAAATACTTAGGAGTTAATGAAGAAGATGAAAGACTTACACAATGAAAACTACAAAGTATTGCTAAAAAATTAAAGACAAAAATAAATTTAAAAAATCCCATGTTCATGTAGTAGAAGACTTAATATTGTTAAGATGTCAATACTACTCAAAAGTTATCTACAGATTCAATGCAATCCCTATAAATCTCAACAATGTTTTTTGCAGAAATAAGAAAAATCCATCCTAAAATTCATATAGAATCTCAAGGGACCCCAAAGAGCCAAAACAACATTGAAAAAGAACAAAGTTGGAGGACACACACTTCTTGATTTCAAAAGTTTCTACAAAGCTACAGTACTCAAAACAGTGTAGTACTGACATAAAGAGTGATGTACACCAACAGAACAGAATAGAAAGCCCAGTAATAAACCCTTGCATATATGCTCAAATGATTTTCAACAAGGGTACCAAAACCATTCAATGGGGAAAGGAAAGTCTTTCCAACAAATGGTGATGAGAAAGCAGAACATCCACATGAAAAAAAGTAAGTTACACCCTTACTTCACACCATACACAAAAATTAACTCAAAGTAGAGAAAAAACCTAAACACCAGAGCCAAAACTATAAAACACTTAGAAGAAAACTAAAGGGAAAAGCTTCATGACATTGGATTTAGCAATGATTTCTTAGATACAACACCAAAGGCACAGAAAAAATAAGCAAGTTGAACTTCATGAAAATTAAAATTTTTTTGAGTATCAAAATAACACTATCAACAGCATAAAAATGAAATCTACAAAATAGGAGAAAATATTTGCAAATCATATATCTGGTAAGGGATTAATATCCAGAATATATAGAGATCTCCTAAAACTTAATAACAACAAAAAATGTGATTCAACAATGGGCAGAGAACTTGAGTAGACATTTCTCCAAAGAAAATATACAAATGGCCAATAAACACATAAAAAGATGGTAATACCACTAATCATTAGGGAAATACAAATCAAAACCACAATGAGATACCACCTCATACCCATTAGGACAGCTGCCATCAAAAAACAAATAAACAACAACAAAAAAACAAAACCAGAAAATAGCAAATGTTGGCAGTGATGTGGAGGAACTGAAACCCTTCTGCATGGTTGGTGGGAATGTAAAAGGTATAGTCCCAGTGGAAAACAGAATGGCAATTCCTCAGGCCAGAAGAAAGTTCAGAAGTAGATCCACATAATTGATTCTTAATAATTCAACAAGGATATAACTGTCTTTTCAACAAATTGTTCTAGAGTAAATGGATATACATTTGGAAATGAATGAATCTCAACCCTTACCTCACAGCACATGCAATCTGCAATAGATCATAAACCTAAATCTAGAAGCTAAAACTATAAAATGTTTAGAAGAAGAGATAAAAAACATATTTTGTGATTTTAGAGTAGACAAGATTTCTTAGATGGGCTTTTTGTGTCCTATCACAAAATTATAAAAGAAAACATTGATGAATTGGCTTCTATCAAAATTTTAAAACCTCTACTCTTCATAAAACACTGTTAAAAAATGAAAACTCATGGCATAGACTGGGAGAAAATATATGCAGTACCTATATCTAACAAAGGACCAGTATTCAAAAAGCAGAAATGGGGGATCCAATCAAGATGGCAGAATAGACAGACTGCAGCACCACTCTCTCCCACAAATCAACCAAATTTTCAACTTTAAAAATGTAACATCAGCCAAGCCGGGGCCGCTGGAGCTCAGGGGAAGAGGAGGAGAGACCTACGGAGTTCATGAAGGTGGGAGAAACTATGACGAGAGAAAGAAAAAGTTTCTCTGAGCATTTTGGGCCGCGGGTGCTTTAAGGCTGGAGCTGATGAGCACATGGAGCAGGAGCTGGCAGAAGATGGAGTCACTGCTGTGCCCTTCAGATGGAGTCACCTGGAGGCAGCAGGAGAGGGCCTTGGTGGTCCCCAGGACAACAAGACCGCTAATAGCGTTCCCGTTCCCGTGGACCCACGCAGGAGTGAGGAGCCAGAACAACTGAAAAAAGGGAGCCATTCAGAGGCCGGTGAGTCATCGCAAGGGACCAGAGCAGGGCCCATCCCATGGGAAGTGTTTGGAGCACAGGCAGTGGGGGAGACAGGCCCACCAGGGGAACACTGGAGCATAGCAAGGACAGCTGGTCTGCCCCCCAATCAGCACAGTTCTACTCAGAGGGAACTGGTCAGGAATACAGAATTGCATAGGGTGGAGTTTGATGAAAAAACTCAGGCCCAGATCAGAGATTCTACAAAACACAGATCCAGGCCGGCCCGGTGGCGCACTGCTACAGTGCACCGCTTGGGAGCGCAGCGGCGCTCCCGCCGAGGGTTCGGATCCCACATACAGACCGGCCACTCACTGGCTGAGTGAGGTGCAGGCGCAACACCGAGGGTTGCGATCCCGTTGCCGGTCCCGGTCCGGTACAGGTGCGACACTGAGGGTTGCGATCCGTTGCTGGTCACAAAAAAAAGACAAAAAGGGGAAAAAAAAAAACAAAAAAACACAGATCCACCAGGTCTCTGGAGAGCCGGCAGTACCTATAAGATCAACCATTAAACCCCGAGCTGCACAAAAAGCTTTCCCTAGGGAAATAGCAGCGAAGCAGAAATTTAAACAACCACACAGCTCAAATACTGGTTCCCACAGGAAGTTCCCCCATGTTAGAAGCAAAGGACAAAAAATTAGTTCCGGCCCAGGCACACCACCAGCACCTTGGGGCCTGCCTGGGAACTGGAGGTTTGGATCTGGGGACTGGACGCCACTCCCACTTCCAGGCAAACTGCACCAGTGCCTCAGGGCCAGCCTGGGGACCTGAAGCTGGCCCTGAAGCATGGAGAAGGGGACAGGACCTCTCTCCCACAACCAGGCACACTGAGCCAGCACCTTGGGGCCCACCCAGGGACCCAGGGTATGGAGTCAGGGACTAGACCTCTCTCCTACAACCAGGCACAACATGCCAGCACCTCGGAGCCCACCCGGGAACCCGGGACATGGAGAAGGGGACCGGACCACCCTCCCACAACCAGGCACACAAAGCCAGTGCCTTGGGTCCCACCCAGTGAACCGAGGCATGGAGCTAGAAACCAGACCCTCCTCCCACAACAAGGCACACCACACCAGTACCTCAGGGCCCACCCAGGGACCCAAGGCAAGGAGAAGGGGACTGGACCTCTCTCCCACAACCAGGGACACCATGCCAGCACCTCGGGGCCCACCCAGCCCAGAGGCACACAGAAGGGGACTGGAACCTCCTCCCACACCAGGCACAAAACGTCAACACCTCGGGGCCCATCTGGGTACCCGAGGCATGGAGAAGGGGACCGGACCCTCCCACCACAACCAGGCACACTGCGCCAGTACCTCGGGGCCCACCCAGGGACCCAGGACATGGAGAAGGAGACTGTACCCCTCTCCCACAACCAGACATATGGCGCCAGCACCTTGGGGCCTGCCCAGGGACCAGAGGCATGGAGAAGGGGATGAAACACACCCCACAACCAAGCATACCGCCAGTGCCAAGGAGCATGCCAAAAACAGCACCTCCACGTGGGTGGCCCACCACAGCCACCACAATAACCATGGCTGCTACAAAAGCGGCCAGACGCCACAGCTACCACGCAGATGGTCCACCAACCGCTGGAGTGCATTCACACAAGAAGAGTCACCAGCAGAGACAAAGAAAAGAAGAGGATGTCTCTCTCCACAAAACCCATTTCAGAGTGACAGAAGAAGCATCTGCTCTATGATAATATTAGGGGAGCTAATCACATCTCTCAGCATTGGACAGATCATCTAGGCAACAAGTTAACAGAGTAACCATTATTCTTTCAGAAGGAGAGAAGAAATCTAGGGCAATTAGGGAGGGCGGGGGAGGGAGGGGGGAGGGGAGAGATTGGACAAGGGGCATAAAGAATAATTATGATTTGTAAAAATATATATGCTAGTAATATTGATTTAATCAACATATCTCAATGTTCAACCCCCAAAATATGTATAATCGATTTTGATTCAATAAATAAAAAAATAAAAATAAAAATAAAATAAAATATAATAAAAAGAACTGGTATTCAAAATATATAAAGAACTCCTACAACTTAATATAAAGAACACATATGATTCAATTAAAAAGGAGCAAAAGGGGGCCGGCCCAGTGGCGCACTGCTATAGTGCGCCGCTTGGGAAGCGCGGCGGCGCTCCCACCAAGGGTTCGGATCCCACATACAGACCGGTTCCCGCTCACTGGCTGAGCGAGGCGCGGGGGCAGCACCAAGGGTTGCGATCCCGTTGCCGGTCCCGGTCCGGTACGGGGGCAACACTGAGGGTTGCGATCTGTTGCCGGACACGGAAAAAGACAAAAAAAAAAGGAGCAAAAGATTTGAATAGATAGTTCACAAAAGAACATACAAATGGCCAATGAGCATATCAAAACATAGTCATTGTCATTAGACACCCTCAAAAGGCAAATTAAAACCACAATGAGATACCATCACATATCTACTAGATACACACTGACACTTGCTTCAGTCTGTCAGGACCACTTCAGAGGCTGATTGCATTGAAGAAACTAGACACTGGAGGCTGCACCTTATTAGTTCTCTATGATATTTTATTATGTTCAGTGTGGTTCCAACTACCCACCCATGGCCACCATTGATTGATTCTATAAATCAATTCTATTTGATGTTGAATAATGCTCAAATTGGTTGTGTCCTTGTTAAGAGTCTTTTTCTTTAAAGAAACAATCCACTATATTCTTCAAATTAATTGCTCTCTTTGGGGAAGAAATGAACAGAAACACATCCCCTGTACCTCAATTTCTTCTTCCACTCTAATTGAGCAATAGGAAAAAGCCCAATAAGAGAGTTGCAACTTTTTAGTACCAATTGCTCTAGTATACTCTGTAAAAATGCAACTCACTTAAAAATTAGAAATTAGAAAGAAGAGAACTTTAAAGTACCTGTACTCTCCGTTCGGCACCCACACTTATTTCTGGGGAGTGTCTCCCAAGTTGCTTATTCTCTTGAGTTTCACACATCTCTCCTTTAAGTCTTTCAACCTTAAATACAAAATTAAGCATCTTGAAGACTTCTCAATTTTTGTTTGGCTACATTATTGCTTTGTTTTAAAAAACAGTCAACTAATACATAAATACATTCTCCTTGTAGAACTTCAACAACACATATGTAAATAGAGTAAAAAGCGATATTTTCCTTCAATATCACAATCTTTCTTCCCTTTCCAGTAGCAAAACTGCTTAGGATTTACCCTTTCTGGACTGCTTCATGCATATGCATACACACACACACACACAACATATAAATATATATAGGTGTTAGATATATACATTTACAAAGAGTAAGACAACTTGAACAATCTTTGTTTGTTTATTCATTCTTTTTTAATGATCGCATTTTTATTCTAGTAAAATAAACAACACAAAATTTACCATCTTAACCATTTTAAGTGTACAGGTCAGCAGTATTAAGCACATTCAGATTGTTGTACAAACATCACCACCATCCACCTTCAGAACTCTTTTCATCTTGCAGTGAAACTCTATACCCAGTAATAATTCCCCATTATTCTCTCCCCTCAGTCTTTATGATTTTGACTACACTTGGTACCTCATACAAGTGGAATCCTATACTATTTGTCCTTTTGTGACTGGATTATTTCATTTAGAATAATGTCTTCAAGGTTCATCCATGTTGTAGCATATGTCAGAATTTCCTTCTTTTTTAAGGGCTGAATCACATTCTATTGCATGTATATACCATATTTTGCTTATCCATTCATCTGTCAATGGATATTTGAGTTGTTTCTACTGTTTGGCTATTGTGAATAATTATGTTGCTATGGACATGGGTGTACGATAATATGTTTGTGTCCCTGCTTTCACTTTCAATTATTTTGGGTATATGTAGTGGATTGAATTATGTCTCCCCAAAACTCACTGAAGCTTGAATTGTGTCCCCCAAGTTTTATGTGTTAGAAACTTAGCCCCCATTGTGACTGTTAAGAGGGTGGGAAATCCCATTATGATAATCGAAAGGTGAGGCCTTGAAGAGGTGACTGGATTGTAGGACTGTGCAGTAGTGAATGGATTAAAAATGGTGGTCAGAAGTGTGGTTCTGAGGGCTTTAAAAGGAGGAGAGAGTCTGTCTCTCTGGCTCTCTGTGCCTCCACCATCTTGCAGTGTGAGACCCTTGGGTCACTGTCACCACCACCAAATGTATTCCTTGGACTTTGGACTTCCCAGCCTCAGAAACTGTAAGCAATAACTTTCGTTTTCCTTATAAATTACCCAGTTCTGTGTATTTTGTTATAACCAACAAAAACAGATTAATACAGTATATATACCCAGAAGTGAAATTGTCAGATCTTATGGTGATTCTACATCTAATTTTTTTGAGGAACTTCCATATTATTTTCTACAGTATGAAAATACTGCACCATGAGTATTTTACACTCCCACCAGCAATGCACAAGAGTTCCAATTTCTCCACATCATCAATATTTGTTATTTTTTGTTATTTTGATAACACCCATCCTAATGGGTATTTCTAGAGCACCTGGTGTTATGCACGCATTGCTTAGATACCAGAGATATGATTGGGAAACAAATATGAACTAAAATTGAAGACACATACAATGTATCCAGAACTTGGAAGTACATATTAAAGGTCAATAAATTGCTAAGAGAAAGGTCAAAAAATAGAACACAATTCAGGATTTAGTGTTAATAATCTCAAACATCCAATATAATAGAGTAATACTCATATTTTTTTGTTTGGTAAATGTGTTAACTATAAACTATTATCTAAATCTTTATTAAAAAGAAAAGATTCTAGATTTACACAACAGCAATAATGTTACTGTTTGGCATAGTTAGCTAAAATGTATAAAATATATAAATACTGGATAGAATATATCTAGGTCAAAGTATGACATCTATCTGGGATATTATAGCCCACAATATCAGTCCTCAGTAAAGACCACATTAGGTGATGCATATCTATGTTGCTCAAGCTGCTGATTGTTATTATGTTTGCAGTTAATTCAATTGTAAGAACAAATTAAATTAAATTTACCATTCCTCCAAGCACTTTTTTTTCTGAGTCAAGTGATCGAACCCGATTTCTTAAAGCCAGAATTTCCTCATTCAGTCTCTGATTATGTTCCTTTGCTTTCTGTAGGTCAACTGAATCTAAAACAGAGAGAAGAGCACAGTTTACTCAATTGGTTCAAAGTTTTAGTTTGGAGGTCACTAACTCTAAAAACCAAGGAAGTGTTATTTCCTGCCCTTCTTGTCAGTCCAACCATGTCTTTGCACTAGACTCTTAAGTCCAGTCCTAGAATATTCTTCCAGCCTAATGAAACAGAACAGAAAGTTTTGTATTTCTCACACAAAACTAATGAGTTGGACTTTTTGAGTGTAGGGTTTCCAGCAATAGAGGCTCTTCTAGGACATGAAATTTTAAAAGATTTGAGCCTGACTTCTACATGTTAAATGTCCAAGAAAATGATCTTCCTAGATTCTTTTCAGTCTTGTCTCTCTTGCACATCTCCTATTCCATTAACACACACTTCAAACTCCTACCAGTATAAAAACCCAAACAAGCATCATGTTTGTTCTTAGGACAATTCCATGCTGTAGCTTTATTGTAAGTTTTGAAATCAGAAAGTATAACACCTCAACCTTTATTGATCACAAATGGAATATAGACTTTTTGTTAATCAAGCTGTACAATTTTCTTCAAAGTAAATATTCTCATCCAAGCTTCACCCAACACCCTGTCCCAGAATAATATAGTTGATACTTGGTAAATATAATTTAAAAGGTTTTTTATACATATGCTAATATACAAAGGTTGTGTTAGAATTATTTAACAACTGATAAAGCATGGACCCTCATCTATAAGAATATAGCTCTGGAACAAAGTCCTGGAGAATGTTTTCTTGTACTAAATATGATCCCTTTAGTGGCTAGGAAGGCAAGGGGCTGGAAGCAGCTGGGAAAATTGGAGCAGGTGGAGAACACTTGAAAAGACTCAGGGCAGCAGCTACTTTCAATTTACACAAAATTATTTCAGTGTTTTCACAAAAGTACTGCCATATTAGTGTATATCAGTTCATAGTAGTCCTGTGGGTACGTATACACACACACACACACACACACAATATAAAAACCCAAATGACATACTGCATACGAGTAATGGAAAGTTCATGGAAAGACATATTATTTTTTAATTCTATTTTTCCATGATCTTTTTGAAGAATCCTTGTAAATTACTCTACAAATTGCTTTGTTCACTTGATAATATGTCACAGACAGCTATCCATGTCAGTGCACATAGTTCTACATCATTCTTATTAATAGCTGCAAGGTATCCATTGTGCAGTCATTAAGCACATCCTATTTAATTTTACTACCCAGCAAATTGTTTCTTACTCTCTATACTTTTACAAGTTCTTCCTTTTTCATTAGGCATACTGTAATGTCTTTGTCTGGTTTTGGTATCAGGGTAATGCTGGCCACTTAAAATATTGGGAAGTATTCCCTCTTCAATTTTGTGGAAGAGGTTATGTAAAGTCAATTTTATTTATTCTTTAAACGTTTGTTAGAATTTACTAGTGAAGCCATATGCGTCTGGAGTTTTTTTTGGTGGGAAGATTTTTAACTACGAAGTCAATTTCTTTAGTAGATTTAAGACTATTTCTTTTTGAGTAAGCTTTGGTAGTTTGTGTCATGCAAGGAATGTGTCCATGTAATCCAGGTCATCAAATTTATTGGCATAAAATTATTCATAATATTCCCTTATTATCTTTTTAGTGTGTAGAAATGTTCAGTCATTTCTTATTTTGTAATTTGTGTATTCTCTCTTTTATTCACCATTAATATAGTTAGAAGTTTTTCAATGTTATTGACTCTTCTGAAGAACCAGCTCTTGGTTCCAATGATTTACTCTATTATGGTTCTGTTGGGGTTTTATTGATTTTAACTCTTACTTTAATATGTCCTTCCTTCTGCTTGCTTTGGATTTAATTTTTTCTTCTTATTCTGGGTTTTTAAGGTATAAGCTTAGATTATTTTGAGTCTTTTCTTGGTTTCTAGTATAAACATTAAGTACTACAAAATTCCTTCCAAGCACTGATTTAGCTGCTTCCCACAAATGCTGATATCGTTGTATTTTATTTTCTTCCATTAAAAATATTTTCTAATATTCCTTGTAATTTTTTTCTCTGAAGGTATAGATGATTTAGAAAAATCTTCTTTAATTTCTAAATATTTGGAGATTTTCTAAATATACATCTCTTACTGATTTTTAGTTTAATTCTCTTATGGTCAGAGAACATAACTTCTATGATTTCAGTTCTTCCACAGAGATTTGTATTATTGTGAATGTTTCATGGGTACGGGAAAAGAATGTGAATTTGGTGGACTTTTCTATAAATATCATTTAGGTCATGTTGATTGGCAGTGTTTTTAGGTCTTCTATCTCCTTACTGATTTTTTCTGTTTACTTGCTCTACCAATTGTGAAGAAAGCAGTGTTCATTTTATAATTGCATTCATATATTTTTGAAAAGGAGGGTATACCTAGTTTTAGAATTATTTAAAACCTATAAACATATTTTAAATCATTTTTGTAATTGTTACCATTAAAACACTCAAATTTCATTATATTATTGATTGCTGGTAGTAGTTTTATGTAGTTAAGCTAGGGTCAGTTTAACTAATTCACCATTAATTCTAAGCCTATTGGCTTCCCAGTGAACAAATATGTGTGAAGTACTGTTAAGTGCATTATAAGGTGTCTTGGTCTCCATGATTCCAGTAAAAATATGTATTATTTGTGTTGATCACAGGTTTTGGAGTCAAACATATAAGGATTCAAATATCAGCTCTGGATTGCATTGGTAGTATAGTGGTGAGCTTAGCTGCCTTCCAAAAATCAGCTCTGATACTTAGTGTAGGTGTTGGATAATTCATTTAAACTTGCTAGGACTCAGTTTTCTTATATATGAAATGGGGTTAATAATAGTCACTACTCAGAGTTGTTGTGAGGATAAAAACAATAGAAATCATATATAATAGAGAGAACGCACAGAAAGTAACTGGCAGAGGACCTGTCAGTAAGTAATAAGTGGCAGGAGTAGTAATAGTTGTACTAGCAATAGCAATCATAGTAGTACTGTTTATTATTTTAACTATTATATAATATTATTTTAAAACATTATTTAATACATATAATACTACTGCTTCATGCATTATTATCAAATAATAAGTATATATGCTAGAATGACTCACCATTTTCTTTCAGTCTAATCAAACTTTCTTTTAATTTCTCAATTTCTAGTTGAGCCTTCTCAAGCGCAGAATCTAAAAAAAAAATTGCATAAGCAACAAATGATTATTATAATAATCAAATTTCAAATGAATCTCTCTGTTTGGAACACTCCCTTTCATCTGGCTAACTGTCCTTTGAGTTTCTACATAAATGTCACCTCCTCCAGGAAGCTTTTCCAGACTTCCCTCTTAGTGTTCCTACTACACCCTATATTTATTCCTATCCCTGATCATCTGATCTCATAATTGTCCTTCCCTGTTTCCCCCACCAGATTCCATGGTGAAGAGTTTGGATCACTGTAAATAGGAATAGCTGAAAGTTTTTAAGCATGTTACTAAGAGCTTAGTAAAAAGATATTATACCTAGAAATAACTGAAAATAATTCCTGCAATCGATTATATTTAGAATTTTGCTAATAGCTGCCAGAAACGTCAGGAAATAGCTTTTGGTATTATTCCGGAATTGTATGAGGATGGCAGAACGGTATATAAGAAGACATGTGGCATTGCAGTCGATTGGATCTGGGTTCTCTAATTCAGGTTTGATCCCATTGCCTTCTGTGGTCTCCTCATCACCAGTGATGTAACTGGTTGGTCTCCTATATGGTCAGAATGAGGAACTCCTAGAAGTAAGAAACTAACATGACTTTTATAAGAGAGCATTCCTAATCACAGAGTAAGTACATCAGCACAATTGTGCATTTTTTATTATTATGCCTGTAACTCTCAGTTCTTTGGAGTAAATCTCAGTACAATATAACCTATCGGATTTACCTAAAACTATATTCCTAACTATAGCAATACTATTACTGATACTGCTACCAGCAGCAGCAGCAGCTACTAGTATCATATATATTAATCATTATAACAAATCTGCAAACTAAGCATTAATAGTCCCATTTTATAGATGAGATAAGCAAGGCTTAGAAAAGTTAAACAACTTGCTCAATGTCACACAACTGGTCAATGGTATGACTGGGATGTGAAAGCAGATGCGTTTACACTGTGCCAGAGGGTGTGAGAATAGCTTCTGTTTGACTAGAAGAACAGTTTTCCAATGTATTCCTCCATGGAAGGAGAGAGAGTAGAGTGACAGCAGGTGGAAAGGATGTTCCAGAAAGAGGGAATAGCACGAGTAAAGGATGATTTTGGTGGTCTCTAATATTGTATCAATTTGGTATACAACATATTTGGCCATATGTGTTATCTTTGTGTGCGTGTGTTTTAAATGGAAATCAAATCAAATGTTTTCAGAACACCTGAAGTGCCTCTTCAGAACTTTAATGTTCATAGAACCATTTGGAAGCCCTTGGTTTATGTAATAAATTCTGGACTCTCTTGTGTAGCAAATAAGGCCTTTCTGTCTTAACTCCTGCCTATCTATCCAGCTCATATCCTACACTTCCCCTGATCCTTTGCACTGTAGACCCAAGCAGTATTAGGCTACATGCAGTTCCAAGAGCACTCTATGTTCTCTCCTAGCTTCTCTCCTTTGTTCTTTGCTGGTCTTGCTAAAAGAACTCACAAGAATCAACATATACTCAGCACTCATAAAGCAAAATCAGCAAAGGGAAAAGGCACTTGGGGCAAAGTCCAGAGGAAACCAGGCACAAGCTTCCAAGAGTCCTCTTCCATTGGAGTCACACCGGATGTGTCTCCAGCAATGAATGGTGACAACATGTGTGAAATGTTCCTGTGAAGTTGGTCAGAGACTCAGTGCCTAAGGTTTTTATTGGGGGGTTAGTCATATCTGCACTTTCTGCCTAGCATATACCAAAATCCCAGACTCTCAGAAGGAAAGCAGGTGTTCAGCATAAAACTTATTTGTTCAAACTCTTTGGGCACAGTCAGCCTCTATTATCAGTTAGGGACTGGTGGGAATACTCTCAAAATCCACGTTCCCAGGTGCCAGCCAAGGGCTAACCTTACAAGTAGATGTTTCTTAAAGATAGCAGTGTCAGGCCTGCTATGTTAACTATTTTCTGCAAAGTATGGATATACTGCATTTTGTTTATCCATTCACCAACTGATGGACATTTGGATTGTTCCTAATTTTTAGCTATTGTAAATATTGGCGCTATGAATATTTACATATAAGTCTTTGTGTGGACATATGTTTTCACTTCTCCTGGGTAGATACCTAGGAATGGAATTGTTGGGTCATGTGGTAATTATATATTTAATATTTTAAGAAATTTCCAAATTGTTTTCCAAAGTGTCTATGTCATTTTACATTCCTACCAGCAATAAACGAGTATTCCAATATCTCCACATCCTTGTCAGCACCTGTCATTGTTTTTTTTATTATAGCCAACCTAGTGGGTGTGAAGTGGTATCTTATTGTGGTTTTGTTTTACACTTCCCTAATGACTAGTAATATTGAATATTTTTTTAAATTGATAAAGAATAATTGTATATATTTACGAAATACAATGTGATGTTTTGATATATGTTTACATTGTGAAATGATTAAATCAAGCTAATTAACATATTCATCACCTCACACACTTAATTTTTCTGCTGAGAGGTGCTGATCATCTTTTCATGTGGCTATTGTATTGGTCATTCACATATATTCTCCAGAGAAATGTCTATTCAGATCCTTTGCCTGTTTTTTAATTGGGCTGTCTTTTTATTAAATTGTAAGAATTTTTTCATATTCTGGATATAGGTTCTGTATCAAACACACGATTTGCAAATATTTTCTCCTAGTTTGTGGGTTATCTTTTCACTTTCTGATGGTATCTTTTGAAGTGGAAAAGTTTCAGACTTTAAGTTCAATTTGTTAGTTTTTCTCATCACTTTTGTTTTGATGTTGTATCTAACATATCATTGCCTACTCAAGATCATGAAGATTCATTCCTATGTTTTCTTCTAAGAGTTTAATAGTTTTAATTCTTACATTTAGCTCTATGGTCCATTTTGAGTTAATTTTTGTGTAGGTTTGAAGTAGAGGCCTACATTATTTTGAAACAAATCCCAGAAATTGTATCGTTCATCTGTAAATATTTCACTATATATATCTAAAACGTAAAAACTCTTTTAAAACATAAACTCAATACCATTGCATATTATTGCATGCCTCCCTGTCTCCTCACTGGTCAACTTCGTGAAATAAAGCCTTTTCTTTTCTCCAAAACCGGTGCCATAGTATTGGCTTTTGTGAGCATTGGGCAGCAAGCCCTTGCTTGGTAACAATCCTTACCACTGTGTTACAACTGCCTACAGTATTCAGTACAGTTACATGCTATGCAGGTTTGTAGCCCAGCCAATAGGTTATATCATATAGCCTAGGTTTGTGTAAGTACACGCTATGATGTTTACGCAATGATGAAATCACCTAATGATACATTTCTCAGAACATATCCCTATTATTAAGCAATGCATGACCATATACAAGAGACTTGAGCAAGAATTTAATGAAATAGTATATCCAAAAGAGCAGCAAGAACAACAAATATATGAAAGGATTTTCAACTTCATTAGCTGTCAGAGAAATGCAAATTAAAGCCACAATTAAATACCACTACATATTCAGCATAAAATGTAAAGTTAATAAGATTGATACAGGAGGTACTCAATTTCCCTGGGCTGGGGTTACAGGACACATCTCTGGGTTACAAGCCATTCCCCAAGGTTTCAGGCCCCTCCTGTTGACCATCCCTTAGAGGAAAGCTAGTGATGCCAGTTAGACCTATTTTCAGCACCAGCATGGGAAAATGAGACCACAAGGGGCTGTTTTATGCAAATCCAGTAGCTTGGCAAGCTCAGTAGAGAAGGGTTATATAACCCTGGTAGCTGAATAACTTTCCACTAGAGGTGCCAGAGAGCACAGAATATTCTTGAATATGACTGGTACATGTGATAGGATTTGACCAATGAATGTGATTCAGAAAAAGACCAACTGAGCATGTGCACAACCATTGTTTCATAATTGGAAACCACCCCCTTAATTGAATATCCATTAGGTAGCAAAACTATAAAAGCTGAATCCCAGCAGAAGGTGGGGTTGCTGCTGACTTTCCTGGAGGCAGCCCACACTTCACTGGCTGAGGTGTATATACTTTACTTTGTATCAAACTTAGTTTCAGCAAGCATCTGCTCACTCTCTTGAGCCAGCCTTCATTCTGTACTGAAATTTATGTATTTCTTGCTTTTGTGTTAAACTTGGTGTGGGCCCTGCTCAGTCTCTGGAACTATGTTGCATTCTCTCTATGGAACTTGTATTTCTTATCTGTTATGTTAAACTTGTTCTCACTTTCTACTGTGACTCTGCCCTTGAATTATTTCCTGTGTTGGAGTCAAGAACCTGGTAAGAGGACTGGGTGAGTTGAGGCCAACTGTCGGACCTCCAGGACCCTACCTCTGACATCAAGACGGCCAATACCAAGTATTGACAATGAACGTATAGAACCAAAATCTCATATATATCTGAGGAGAACTTAAATTAGTGCAATTACTATGGAATATGCCCATAACCCTTTGATCCAGCAATTTTACTCTGATCACAATTAGAAATGTGTAGATAAGTATACTGAAAGATATGCACAAGAATATTCCCACCAGCAGTATTCATAATAAACCACAACGGGAAACAACACTAATGTCCATCAACAGTAGAATGGATAAATAAATTGTAGTATGTTTATTAATGGAATACTATAAAAACGGCAACAGTGAAAAAACAACTGCTACAAGCAACAACATGAATGAATCTCAACAAACATAAGATTGAGCAAGAGAAGCAAACTAAAGAATGCACACTGCATGTAGTCAAAGCTCAGAAACATTGTTCAAAGTCAGGACAGTGGTTACTTTTGGGGAGTGGGGAGGCTGTAGAAATAGGTAGAAGGAACAAAGGAGGCTTCTGGGAAGGTGGGGATTTCTTGTGGGGAGTGGTGTACTTATGAGTTGTGCATTTTTTGGTAAGTATGTTATTATGCCTGTGCTTCAATAAAAATGTTGGGATGTTGTAGAAAATGAGGCTGTTTATCTGACTTTTCTGTGTTTAATCTTAAAAGATTTTTTTCTTGGCATACTCTTGTACCACCCTGAGAAAAGATCATTACAGTTAAAACACGGTCAGAAATGGTCATCTGAAATCATAGCTTACCTAATTTATGCTGTTCTTTCTCCTTCACTTGTAGCTCACCGGTGAGCCTTTGGATCTCTTCATGGGCCATTCCTAACCTCTTTGCTGCTTGTTCCATACCTCTCTCTAAGCAGTCTTGTGATGTTTTATCTTTTTCCAGATCTACATTATGAGACTGAAATAAAATGAGTGTTAGTAAGAAACAAACAGTAAATGTACTCTTATGACATTTTGCTATTTTCTATAAATGTTTGAAAGCCAATAAAGTAAGTAGCAAGCAATATTTCATTTATGTGCATTTCTTTTATTAGATTGAACCAAATAAAATTGAGGATACTTGATTTTTTTTTTTTTTACTTATAAACATGCAATTTCATACGGCTCAACTTGACATTATCTAGGAGAATGCTTATATAATTAAATAAGCAGAAATTTAAACATAAAAATGTGTATCATCTGACAAAAAGAGATGATACTCCTCATTTATATGGTATATTAAGTACAGTTTATAAAATGCTTTCACATCAGGTATTTCATTTAAATTCAAAGTATGCACAGACTTAAGGTTCAAATCACGTATAGGGCTCTTCTTCTGCGATTATTTCAAAGACTTTAAAAGCTTAGAAATTCAGTCTCAATTATATTTTGCTTTTGATCCCTAAAAGAGAATGATTATTATATAAATGTAAAAAGTATACAAATTTTTCTAAGAGGTTAAAAAAACCCAAAATACCATACAAAACCACTTTGAGCCTATTGGTATATTTCTTTGCAGTCCTAGGGTGATGTTTTTAAAGGATATAATATACATTGTTTAAATTTTGATACATTCAATAAAAATCAGCTATTGTGTTAAATAGGTGGTTGATTTTTTTTCTCCTTCCTAAATTTTTGTAATATGCTTATAATACTTTTATGCACAATTTGAGCATTTTTACAGCACCAATCTACACATTTTAATATATTCAAACAAAATACTACCAAGGCAAAGGCTTATTTGTAATTACCCACTATTACTAAGTAAAGAACTATAATTTCTTTATTACCTCACTCGGATTTGTTTTAGGCTGCTGCACAGGTCCTTGACGTTTCTGATCTTCTCTTTGCAGAGGCTGGTGGCTTTGTTCAAATTTCTCCTTAACAAAAATGAAGAGACAAATGAAACTTACATTAATCAGTCTTCATGTATAAAAATGTCATCGATATCCAGAAAACCAGTAATCAATTTATACTAGGAAAAGAGGGAGCACAGTCCAGTCCATTTTATGAGGCTAAACCATGCATACTCAATGAGGCAATACTGGTTCTTGGAGGGGCAAAAAAACCCCTTACTCTTGAGGTACCCAGCACAGATATGCCTGCAGTACATAAACACAAGGGAGTCTTCAAAAAGTTCACAAAAAGATTTGCATTGTTTTCTAATTCTATTTTTCTTCAGACTCTTAGAAGTACCCTCATAGATATATAGTATATCTGTAGTATTAAAGATTCATGGGAGAGGGATGAAGAAAATTTCTAAAAAGTCTCCTTAGGGAGGCAACAATGAAAAAATGGTTGACTAACACTGGGCTAGACTAACGTCGATATTAAAACCTGACAAAGATAAAACAAGAAAGAAAAATCACAGGGCAACCTCAGTTATTAACACAGATGCAAAAATTGTAAACAAAATTTTATCAAATCTAATCTACTAATATTTAGAAAGGATAACATATCGTGAACAAGTTCAATTTACCCCAGATACGCAAGGTAGTTTTAATTTTAGGAAAATTAAACAATGAAATTCTCACATTAACAGATTAAAGTTCTAAATTATTTCATCATCTCAATGACTATATAAAATTTTTTTATAAAATTCCACATTGACTCAATAAAAACTCTTAGCAAAAAAAAGAGAACACTCTTAACTCGAAAAAGGGTATTATTCTTTTAAAACCTTCAGCAAACATCATACTTAGTAGTGAATCACTTACTGCTTTCTCTCTGATATCAATAACAAGACAAGATGTCTATTATTTAACATAATACTAGAGATCCTAGCCAGTACAGTATGGCAAGAAAAAAGGATAGGAAAGGAAGAACATAAGTATCATTATTCTCAGATAATTGTGAATGTAGGAAATTCTAAATCTTCAAATAAATTGTTTAAATGAATGACAAATTTTAGTAAGATTGTTGGATATAAGGTCAATATATAAAAACAATTATAATTTTATTTATTCTTATTTTTAGGTATGATAAATGCACACTTGAATATAATTATAGTTTTAAATACCAGCAACAGATAATTGCAAAATTAAATTTTTAAGAAAGATAACACTAACTATTAATAGTATCTAAAATATAAAGTACCTTGGAATAAATCTAACAAAAAATGTGCAAGATCTTTGTGGGGAAAATTATAAAATTTCACCTATATACATTAAAAAATAAATAGGTATTTCATGATCACAGATCACATCAATATTTTAAGATAGTCAATTCCTCTTAAGTTGATTTACAGATTCAGTATAACCAAAAATCAAAATCCTTGAAGGTAAGATTTCTTTTTGTTTCTTTTGCTGTTGTTGTTGTTGTTTTTGCTTATTTTTAAAGGTAAGAGTTTCTTAAACAGGACAGAAAAATACCACAAAAGAAATGATTAGCAAATTGGGCTACATTAAATTTAAAAACTCCCACTCATTAAAATAAGCTATTAAGAATGTTAAAAAGGCAAGCCACAGAGTGGGACAAAAAGTATTTGCAGCACACATAACCATCAAATGACTTGAAACCAGAACATACAGAGAATTCTATAATTCAGTAAAAAAAAGACAACTCAGTTTAAAATGGGCAAAAGAACATGGATGGATTTAGAGGTCATTATGTTAAGTAAAGTAAGCTAGGATAGAAAGACAAATACCACATGATCCCACTCATATGTGGAATCTAAAAAAACAACAAAAAAGTTGATATTATAGAAAGGGAGTAGGAAAGTGTTTACCAAAGACTGGGGAGGGGAAGGGGAAAGGAAAACAGGGAGAAGTTGGCTATGGGTACAAAATTATAATTAGATAGGAGGAATAAGTTCTGGCGTGTGCAGTATAGAATTGACTATAATTAAGTTTTGTATATTACACAGTAGCTAGAAGAGAGGCTTTTGAATATTTTCACCACAAAGAAATGATAATTGCATGAGGTGATGGTTATATTAACTACCATGACCCATATGTATCAAAATATCAGATTGTACCCCTAAACGTGTACAATTACAATGTGTCAATTAAAATAAATAAATAAATTTAAAAATAAAATGAAATAAAATGGGCAAAAGACTTGAACAGGCACTAGCAAAATAGAAAATCCAAATGACCGATAATCATACTAACTTGATTGGTAAAAAGTGAAATGATAATTAAAACCAACATGAGATGTCATTATGCATCCAACAGTTTACACAAATTTGAAAATCTGACAATATCAAGATTTGATGAGGAAAGCAAAGGCACTCTCATACACTCTTGGTGCCCGTATAAATTGGTACAACAACTTAAGACAGTTTGACATTAACTGATAAAGCTGAAGATCTACATATTCTATGGTTCCCAAATCTACTCCTGAATATATACTCTATACAAATGCACTCACCAGAATACATATGTAAGAATATTCATAACAGCCTAATAGATTTCAATATGTTCATATTAGATATAAATTGGGAACAGCCTAAATCAATGTTGAATGGATAGTGTAATGTATTGACACAATGGAATGATATATAGCAATGACAAGCTGATTAAAAAATAAATAGTTCAAACATAATATTTACAAGGAAGCAATTTCCAAAGTTGATCCTTTTTATATAATGTTCAAAAACAGGCAAAACCAAACTACTCTATGTATTGTTCAGGGATGCATACCTTTGTGGAGTGAATGGGGGGATATAATCAGAAAGGGATTCGAAAGAAGCATCTAAAGTGTCAGCAATATTTATTCTTGACACGGCCAGTAGTTACATCGGTGTTTGCTCTATAATTATTTGTTAAATTGTACTTGTATAGTGGCATCTCATTGTGGTTTTTAATCTGTGGTTCCCAAAGGACAAATGAAGTTGTGCATCCTTTCATGTCTTTGTTTGCCATCCTTGTTTCTCCTTGGGTGAAGCCTTTGCTTAAATCTTTTGCCCATTTTTAAATTGGGTTCTATATTACAGTTAGTTGTAAGTTATTATATATCTAGATAAAAAGTTTTTGCTGGAGATATATATATACATACATATATATACACACACATATATATATATAATTAAAAAAAAAAAAATATTGTCGGGCCGAGCCCGTGGCACACTCGGGGGAGTGCAGTGCTGGGAGCGCAGTAGCGCTCCCGCCGCAGGTTCGGATCCTATATAGGGATGACCAGTGCTCTCACAGTGCTCACTGGCTGAGCACGGTGCGGCTGGTCTCAAAAAGGACAAAATAAATAAATAAATAAATAAATAAATAAATAAATAAATATTGTCTCCCAGCCTGTGGCTTGCCTTTCATTTTTGTAACAATGTCTTTTAAAGAGCAAACAATCTGAATTTTTAGTAAGTCCAGTTAATTTTTTTCTTTTATACTTTATGCTTTTCTTCTTTTATAAAAATCTTTCCAAATCCCAAATCACTAAAATTTTCTTCTGTAAGTTTTCTCTTACCATTCTGAGAATCATTCTGAGTTAACTTTCGTATATGGTGTGAGATAAGTGTATTGTAAGGCCTAAAACTTCATGTGCTGCCTTGACATCTGTGAGTCTCACAGAACCCCAAAGGCCTAACCATTTGTTCTCCTCTCACCAGATATGCACCGCCTCCCTACCCAGCTAGCTCCCCATCAGCCAGAGCAGCTGTGCTCCACCTAGTACTCAACCGAATGGGTTATACTTCACTGCTAGCCTATGGAATTTTTCAAACAAGCCAATCACATCCTCCCATGGGAACTAGGAGGCACTTCACCCGCATGTTACTACAAAGCCTTCTTCCCATCACCCCACCAGTTCACTGTATTCCTGAGAATAACCTCCTGTGACTCTGCATGGCATGTGGGATCATCCTCACCTGGGCTCTGAGTATGTATGACTAATAAACTGCTATCAATTTCATCTCTGTCCAGTGTCAGATGTCATGTATTTGGCCACCTTGTAGTATTTA